ACAGGTGGACAGTGAATGGCCCCTCCCAGAGGGAATAAAAGAGGAGCGAAAGGGGAGTGGAGTTTGCAGGAGATCATTAGTTCACTTAATTGGCTCGCGACTCTCTGAGACTGCCAAATTCTGCAGATATCGGCCTGGCAGCTCTCCAAGCCAGAGAAGATCTGTGACTGTAAATCCTCCCTCGAAAGACTTTGCTGGATGTGAATGAGTGGAATTCACAGTCAATTCATAAAAGGGGTTTTCTGTCGAGACAAGGAGTCTGTTTCGTAGTTTGGGAAAGCCGAGGTCAGAACAGAAAACAACCTCTGAGCTTGTGATTCTTTCTGGTCTTATCTCTGCTACCTCTTGGCTCCTGAGATGCTTAATTACTGAGAAACCATGATTGTCTAATGCAGACAACCCTCTCGCTTTGACTTCCTGCGGTGGGAAGCAAAGTTCTGGCAAGGTTAAAAAAACAAGCAAGGATCTCACAGGGCACAACTGAGGAAAAGACAGCGAGCCAAGGTGGTGCCCCCTTCTCAACGCCCCTCCCCAGTTCCCCCATTGTTTTGCTGTTAATTAATGAATGGGAGAGCTAATTGTTGCATGAAACTCCTCATTACTTGAGAATTCCCATTAAGACAATTTAATTACTGCACAGTTTGGGCCGCTCCCACTTGTCTCATTAGACCAAGACTGGGATGAACAGGGGCGATGAGGAGGCAGAGAAAATAGCGATGGGAAAAGAAGAAGGAAGCGTGATGGATGGAAGGTTACAGCAAGAGGCTCAGGTTGGTGGAATTGGAGAAGGTGGGCTGAAGAGGAACACATTTCTTTGGAAGCCAAGCGAGAAACGATCCACCAGATGAAAGCTCAACTCTTCTAAACTTCCCCACTATTTCATCAACTTGCGTTTGCTCCTCCAGGTTGACCAGTTATGATGTTGGAGGCATCCACTGGTTGCCACTAAGAAAAGAATCAACTCATGCTTTTTTAATAGACATCAGGGGCGGTTCATGCTTAGGGTGAGTTGAATCAGCAAGACAATCATGTCTGATCTCAAAAATTAGGAAAATTCTGATTTGTGCTGAAATGGATAAATTGACGTGGGGATTGAAGAACAAAGACAAATCAGATTATTATAAGATCTGGGATAAATTGTATCGATGGTTGGAACAAAAAAGGAATAGCAATAGCAGTTAGACTTATATACCGCTTCATAGGGCTTTCAGCCCTCTCTAAGCGGTTTACAGAGTCAGCCTATCGCCCCCACAGTCTGGNCCCCCTTGAGTTGTTCGCCGTCCTGAGTCCTCCCGGAGAAGGGCGGCATACAAATAATACAATACAATACAATACAATACAACAGCACAGAGGATATGGTTTGATCGAGTAACAACAGATCCCACTCCCCGCACTTCGCCCCCACCCTCCCCACGTGTCCTTAGGTTTTAATCTTTGGTTTTAATTTATTTATGTTTTAATGTAGATATATCTTTATGACTGTAAGATGCCCAGAGTGACTGGGCAGGCAATAAAATTCATAAACAAACAAACAAACAAATCTAATCTTAATGCCTATTCTCTCCAGCCACCAGGAAGCTGAGTAATATTACACAGTAGAAGAGAATATTTGTAACTCAGGGTTGGACTGTGGGTTTTCTCTGATGATACTATCTAGCTGGGTAATGAACCGTCTTCAAGAAAACAACTGACACTTCAGCTTGGGGAGCATCAGAGTATTATTCTTGTTTGGCATGGACTTAAGTGTAAGCGTATTAAAAATCACAACACAACATGTATGAATTTATCTATATTTGCAGATAAGGCAAAGGTTCCCCCACATATGCGTGCTAGTCGTTCCCGACTCTAGAGGGCGGTGTTCATCTCCATTTCTAAGCCAAAGAGCCAGCGCTGTCCAATGATGTCTCCGTGGTCATGTGGCCGGCATGACTCAATGCCAAAGGCGCACGGAATGCTGTTACCTTCCCACCAAAGGTGGTTCCTATTTTTCTACTTGCATTTGTATGTGCTTTTGAACTGTTAGGTTGGCAGAAGCTGGAACAACTGACAGGAGCTCACTGCATTATGCGGCACTAGGGATTCGAACTGCTGAACTGCTGACTTTCTGATCAACAAACTCAGCATCTTAGCCACTGAGCCACCCTTTTTATATTTGCAAATACGTGTGTACATATCTATAGCTCTATGAAAAATCCATCCATGGGATCACCAAGAGTCAACTACTGCTTGATGGCACATCCGGGGATATATAAATTTTAACCAAGGTTATCTAAGTACAGCAATACCATAATTTAAACTGAGATCTGCTATCGTAAAAAAAAAAATGGTTCTTGCAACTTCTTAAGCATTTGAAAGATTTGAAGGAGCCTTGTCAACCTCTGTAGATTGTGCTCCAAACTACATTATATGGTAGCATGGTTTCAAAGAACTAG